CTGCTACTCCCCCTCCATCCCCTATGAGTCACTGGGAGATTCCTGCCTGCCATCAGCTGGGAAGGGCTTGAATGAGGAAGCATCCCCCCCGAAATGTTTCCAGGGTGGGGGAGTTGGAATGAAGTTTGACTACTCCAGGCATTGGCAGCTGGTTCGTCTTGCAGTCACCAGGCTCCATAGCAGCCTCCTCAATCCCTTGTCTTCTGCCTTTGGGCCACTGCCCCTTCCTGCCACCTTAGGGTGCATGTACCTGTTACCGCTCTGGCTGCTCCAAGTGTTCCTCCCTCAAGTGTGCTCAGCCCACTCCCTAGCTCCTCTCTCCTGGAAGATCCTCTCCCATCTCCCTGCCTCTGTGAAGCAGCAGGCCCTCCTGGCCCCTTCCCCAGCAGGCAGAGCAGGGCTTTCCAGGGAGAGGCTGTTGAGATGTCACGGCGCTCAACCCATCCAAGCCAGCAGGTCCTGCTTTGTCCCCACGGACATCCAAGAGCTGCAGTGTTAGCACAATAGACCATCTCCAGTCCTGGCACTGACCTGCTGAGTGATCTCAGGCCTGTCACCTCCTCGCTCTGTGCCTCAGTTGCCCTCTCTGTGAAACAGGGAAAGCCCCACTCATTCACCCTCTAGAGAGCTCAGGACAGTTAGCCCTCCCTTCCAGGGGTGGAGGCAGCAGGGTTTGGCCCGTTGTGGTTCAGGGTCCTTTTGCTGCCTCTGGAGTGGAGCCCAACTTGTCTCTGAATGCCAGGGCCCAGTAAGCATCTCTGTGATTATGAAGGTCAGAAGCAGTGGCCTCTGTGCATGGATCAGATTCCCTGTGGAAACAGGAGAGGACATAGCCAGAGGAACCAGTGGAAAAGAGAGAACAAGAGGGAGAAGACAACAAGGGCAAAGTGGGATCGGGGGCCTGGGATGGAGCATATATATGGCCACAGTCCTGCCACTGACTCAAGGCACAAAGCCCCACACCTAGGTGGTGCTCCTGGCAGGTCGGTGACTTGGGTGTCGAGCTACATGAAATTGTTGCATGGTCAAAGATCCCGGATACCAGTGCAGTCAGAGGCAGTCCTTGGTCTGCTCTCTGGAAATCGTATGCTGTTTAGGTGGGATCAGTCCCCCAGCTCCTGGTGGGATCAGTCCCCCGGCTCAGGGTTGCAGGCTGTGCTGCAGCCCAGAGAGCTGCTCCTGTGATCCCTCACTCTCTCGGGTTTCCAGATCCCCAGAGCTGAAGGAGTCCAGTTTCCACCGATTGAATTAACCCCCCGAGGCAGGAAACCAATACACTCTTCCATTATTTAGCAGCATCCAGGAGGAACCTGGCCTGGCAGCTTTAGGCTTCTGCATGCTGTGTCCATCCGCTGGGCTTTGTTTCAGGCTGCGGCTGGGCTGGTGGGAAGGCCTGGGGGAGCAGGTGTGGCCTGACCTCTCTGAGGAGCTCATTTAAAGTCCTTCCCCTGGGCCTCTGCTCAAGGTGAAGCCAAAATGGGTTTAACCTTTTGTGTCCCAGGCATCCTATCACACATCCTGCTGTCTCACTGCTCCCTTAAGACCCCTTTTGTTTTCCATCTCCTGCCTTCATCTCATGCTTGCCCTGTAGGATCTCTGGGACAGGGGCAGTCTTTTGCTCCATGTTTGTACAGCACCTGGCACGGCAGGGTCTTGGTCGGGGACAGGCTGTCCTCAGTGCTCCAGGAATGCCAGGAAACTAGATGAATAATAATGATAAGAGGAGCAGCTTGGTGGGACAGCCAGCTGCACAGAGATCCCCCAGGAATCAAGGATCTATCGGGGGTTCATCTGGGGGTGGAAATCTTTGTACGTTGTTGTGGCTGATTTGTGGCTGATGGCATGGACAGATGCCCCAACCCCTTACTTCTCAGCCTCACTGGCCTCAAGGCCCCTCCATAAGTTTTGTGAATTGAGTGGCACCCAATTTCAAAGCAAATGCCTTGATTGCAGCGCTTACTTCCTTGCAGAGACCGGATCGTGGGTGGGGAATCATCCAGGCAGGGGCAAGCCTGAGCCTGCGCTAGTCTGCTTGCTTTATCTGTGGCACCCTTCAAAGGATCTGGCAGCACCCCAGGGTGCCTGGGCACCCAGGCGGAGAACCACCACTCCCCCACCCCACCTGGGGTCCTGCCCCAGCTCTGGGCTGCTGGAGGGGGTCCCTGCTCCCTGGGTCATGGTGGCCTGGTAGCAGGGGCTGTGCCCCCTCCAGCCTGGGTGCTCTCTGCAGGGAGGGGGCAGGCGCTGCCCCAGCTCCCAGCTGGCAGGGCGAGGGAGGCGGATCCTCCGCCCTGACTGCAGCGAGCCCCAGGAGGTGGGGGGCTGCGGAGCTGGGCAGCAGAGGGGAGGTCTGGAGCAGATGGATGGATGGCCGCCCGGCAGCTCCTGGACACCATGAAGCAGATCTGCCTGTGCGCCGCAGCCTCCTTCGCGGTATGTCCCATCCGCCCCCCCGCCCCCCCCC